ATCTGTCACGAATTCGGTCCATGGACTTCCGTTTATTCACCACCAGAGGTCACCCTTTCCTTTACATTGACTCGCACAAAACAATACTGTTGCATAGCACCCCGGACTACATATCCCATCATTCATTACACGGTTTGCACACTGCACTGATTGCACTCAGCTGTTTATAACACAGCTATATAACACCCACTCAAACTGCCATTCTCTGCTGAGTATTGTTTAGGCCGTAGCCCGTTCCTAGTCTCTGTGTTTTCCTTGTTTTGCCATGCCTGTTTTCGCGGTTTCGGATCTTTGCCTGTTTTCCCTGGATTTATCCCTCTAGTCTCGCCCCTGTGATTCTGTCTCCCGAGCGTCGCCCTACGCTAGCCCTAGAACTATTCTTGTGTTTTGCCCGCCATATACCTGTCTGCCATTATCTGACCCGTGCCTGTTTTATGACCACGTCTCTGTCTTCTCCTAATAAAAAGCTTGCATATGGATCCGCACGTCTCACGTCTTGTCAGCCCCGTTACAATGTTCTCCTCATTTTTTATTAATGTCTTTCAGTAGATCTTGACCATAAAACACTCATGAATTAGAGAACAGGTAGAACAATCCTTAAAGTATATACATATGAAAAAATATATATATTAAAATCTGAATTCAATGTGAAACACAAACCTCAGTATGTTGAGTTGACAGTTTGGACTCTTCAGTCCAGCACAGAGGTGCTCCACTCTTGAATCCTGCAGGTCATTGTTACTCAGGTCCAGCTCTCTCAGGGAGCAGTCTGATGATTGTAGAGTTGAAGCCAAAATCTCACAGCACTGATCACTGAGATTACAGATGGACAATCTAAATAGTGTAATGAAAAATAATTCATTACATGCATACTGTATAGATAGAAATTGATGTCTGAAAGCACTGTCATTGTCTCATGGTTCTGATAAAAAGGTGTCTGCATAGAACATGAATGTAAAGGCTTACATCCCACTGTGATGCTGAATTCTGTCATGACCTGACTTGCTATTGCCAATACATTCACAGACATGATGCTGCACATATACTGCACTTTTTTTTTTTTTTTTTTTTTTTCACTTTTTTATATACAATAGAATTACATTAATCCTTTATATCAAGTCACAGCTGATAATGGCCACATTATCATTATTTTTATTCATGTCTTTCAATAGTTAGCTTTCAATATGCTAGCTGTATATATAAAACTCAAATATATATAATCACACATTATTTTGTATTAAAATCTGAATCAGTGTAAAAGCCAAACCTCAGTTTGTTGAGTTGACAGTTAGGACTCTTCAGTCCAGCACAGAGCAGCTTCACTCCTGAATGCTGCAGGTGATTGTTACTCAGGTCCAGCTCTCTCAGGGAGTTTGATGATTGTAAAACTGAAGTTACAATTTCACAGTGTCGATCAGTGAGATCACAGCCTGTCAATCTGAAAACAGGGAGGACATGTTGGTGAGCTGGTGTATCCATGAGATTGCAAGACTGTAGGATTTCCTTGTGTAACAGACCTTACAGTATGTGTCAATACATAATATTTGATTATACAATTTCAGGTAATATCATCAGACAGTGCAAATGTGCCCTTGTTTTGGCTCTCTATCAAGTTGTGTAGTCTGGGTGTTTATTTATATATTTTAAATGAAGACTTTGGATAGATTGTTTTAAACAAATGTAAATATTTACTGACAAGTTCACTGAAATTCAGCACTTCAGCTGGAAAAACTTAAAGAATGAATGAGCTGACTTGGCCAAGATACACAGAATGCCCCATGTTAATTTTAACTTCAAAGTCTGCATGAACCAGAAATTGTGATTGTCTTCCCTATTGTGACACACCTGAGTGAAACAGCTTCTTGAATGAGAAAAATGTGGGACTTGGTTTTGTCCTTTGGGAACTGATTTGATTTTTGGATCATTGTTATTTACTGATTAATGTGAACGTTTCATGTGTGACAGGTTGCTGGAAGGATTGAAACTTGACAGGCTGTTGGACAACCTTATTGTACGATTTAAGAATATTAACTAAATCAATTAAAAAACAAGATCATACTGTAGCTACTTTAAACTGTAAAAAATAAACCATTGAGTTTTGTTAAAGAACTGTACACAATAGTCTAGTCCTTATAAAGCAGTTAGCTAAAACAAAAATGAGCATCTCTGCATTTTTGTCAGCAAATTAATTGATTATTTCATCTTCCTGACAAAACATATCAGCAAAATGTTTATATTGGGCCTTTATCGGCATAAATGATATGCCAAAAATATTGTGCATCCCTAGTCTGTAATAAATGTTTTCTTAAAATATTTGTAATTAATTGATTTATTCGAATTAACAGCTGCCTCATTTGTATTAGTTTTACTCATAGCCTGATTATGTTTACAAAGTGTACACGTTTTATAAAACCCTTTTTTAAATCATTTATTTATAAAAATATATTTATTGTATTAATTTGGTAAAGAATAAAAAAACAACACTTAACTGCAATAATTTACATTGTATGCTTGTGAACAAACCCAGAAGATCCTATTCACCACCATCAATTTTTGTCAAATGTAACTACTGCATGTTTGTATTTTCACACTTACAGAGCTTTTCTGCAGTTCCTCACAGCAGGTAACAGTCTCAGTCTCCCATCTTTTGATTTAGTGGTGATTTTTTTAAGATCAAACTCATCCAGCACCTCCTCTGACATCAGGATTATGTTTGCCAAAGTTGAGCATTGTGCAAGAGAAAGACTTTTTTCTTTTGTATTAGAGTTTAAAAATGCCTGCATTTCTTCGACAACAGAATTATCTTTCATCTCAATCAAGCAGTGTGACAGATTTATCCATCTGTCAGGACTGACGTTGTTTTTTTGACCTCGTTTGAGGTTTTGGGTTATTTTCTTGATGCTCTCTGGGTTGTTCTCTGTGTGTATCAGTGCATCCTGTAAGAGTCTCTGATTGGACTCCAGTGAGACGCCATGAAGAAATCGAAGGAAAAGATCCAAGTGTCCGTTTTTACTCTTCAAGGCTTTATTCATTGCTCCTTTCAGAAACACATCCAGAGAAACATCCTCACACTGAGTTCTGGACTTTCCTGTCAGGAACATTTTCAGAACCTCACTGTTTTTGTGTAAATAGCAGAAAAACACATACAGTGCTGCAAAAAACTCCTGAAAGCTCAGATGTACAAAGCTGTAAACCTTCCTGTGATAAATCACAGATTCCTCTCTAAAGATCTCAGTGCAAATCCCAGAATACACTGAGGCGTCAGTGACGTCTATGCCGCTCTCTCTCAGGTCCTCCTCATAAAACATCACATTGCCCTTCATCAGCTGATTGAAAGCCAGTTCAGCAAGTTTCACAATCACTTCTCTGCTGGACTGCAGGAGTTTCTGTGGATGTCTCTCTTCATACTTTTTGGTCTGGAGGTGATCCAGATGAGAGCAGAGGGAAGCAGATCTCCTCTCATGAGGTTTGACATCAACAGACCCACTGATGAAATCTGAGTCACATCAGAAACTTTCTGACTGTCTGAAAACATCAGTGAAATTCTGCTTTCATCCAGACCATCAAAGATGAACACAACTTTACATTCATCATAAATCTTTGAGTCCAGATATTGAAGTTCAGGATGAAAGTCAAGCAGAAGTCGGTGAAGACTGTACTGATGATCTTTAATCAAGTTCAGCTCTCGAAATGTAAGCACAAACATGAAATCTACATCCTGATTGGCTTTTCCCTCGGCCCAGTCCAGAATGAACTTCTGCACAGAGACGGTTTTTCCAATTCCAGCGATGCCTTTAGTAAGAACAGTCTTTATTTTGTCTTTCTTCTCATATCCTGGTTCAGGCAAAGGATTAAAGATGTCATTGCAGTTGATTGGAGTATCTTGGAGTGTCCTGTAACTTTTCTCCATCTGCAGCACCTCATGTTCTTCATTCACTCCTTCACTCTCTCCCTCTATGATGTACAGCTGTGTGTAAATCTGGTTCAGGAGGGTTTGATTCTCTTGTAATTTGACTCCCTCAAATAAGCTCTCATACTTGTTCTTCATGCTGGTTCTGTGCTGGTCTTTGAGTCTCTGAAGATTATCATGCACTGGTTGATGAGAATCGAGCTGCAGAGCTGCTTCTGTGTCATTATGACTGAAGTGGTTCTGACTGTTTGAGGATGTGAAGATCTGACAGGACCCATATCTGATCTGGTCAGCTCTCCCACCACTGAAAACACATTAAGATGAACAAAGACTCAAAAACAAAACAGAAAATACCTTTATCAAAATAGATAAAATATTACTCATTGTGGCCAATTTATTTCCTGACATCACAAATGGAGTTTCTCAATGTTCTGTTCAAGGGCCAATATTGTTTCATATGCACTGTCGATTATTAATGCCCAGGAAGAATTTGAAGGCAGATAATGACCTGCATTGTATTCAAATGATTACTGAACATTTGAATACTGTACACATGGTAAAACAGGACATTCAGACAGCCTACATATGGTAAAGAGAACAAGGCTCCTCATCTACACTGCATGCCAACAAAGGAACTTTTGCTACACACACTGAGGACCGACAGAACGACCCATTTGGCATTTCATATCCTGCTATGATGACCCGGTCTTTCATGAATATCAATACCTTGTTCAGAGTATAAAATGAAAAACTTGCGGGCGATGTTTGTAACTTTTTATGTTGTTACTTTGTGGTAATTTAATATTTATTTTTTCTTCTTGCTTAAATACTTTGCAATAATTCCTTTTTGTTTGTTATTGATAAGTGTTAGAAGCTAAAGTGATTATAACTTACATTCATTAATCACTGTAGTAGTGAATTACAAATAAACATTTAGACCCTTGTCTATTCAACTCTAAACCTCTGATTTATCTTCTGCTTGGTAAAACACAGAGGCTGTGGCTCATTATTTATACACATTAATGTTGTCTGAGTGCTCAGGTTAAATCCCACACCACACTATCAGAATGCAACGAACAATCTTCCTTAAATATAATTATTTGTATCAACCACTGCAACAATTTTAATAGAGACAGATTAATTATATTGGAGTCAAACATCATCCTGCAACTGTTTTTGTTCTGATTATTGTTTCAAAATAGAGGTGTAAACTTCCAGATTCACTGTCACAGAAATCCAATAGAGAAAAGCGGTGACACTTTATTTTAAGGTGTCTTTGTTACACAGGTTACATGTACTTACTATTATAATAACAATGAAGTATGCATAATTACATGCAACTAACCCTAAGCCAAACCCTCATCCTAGCCCTAACCATATAGTAAGTACATGTTAATTAATATTACTCAGTACTTAAATGTATAATTACACTGTAACAAGGACACATTAAAATAAAGTGTAACCAGAAAAGCAAATAAAGCACAAAAAGAAAGAACAAATATTTTTTAAAGTTTATTTCTATGATTTTTATTTATTCTGATGCACTTGTTGTAAAAAAGGAACATTAGTTGATGAATATTTATGAAAATAAATGTTTTTTTGCACACTTATGGCTCTTGTCTTAAATGTCCAACCCTACATGATTATACTCAGAAACTAAGACCGGCTCAAAGGGCACCTTGTCATTACTAAATTAAGGGGACTAAAATATGTTACACATGATACTCACACAGAGTCAGAGGTCACAGGTCCATCACTGAGATTAGGAGGCAGACCAATGGATTTGTTACTCTTCATAGACACACAGCTAGAGATTGGAGATGCTGCTCTCTTTCTATTCCTGCTGATGATACTGAGAAAAAGACAGAAATATATCAGATTACTTCTCTGTAGTTTATCTGTCTTCCCAAATTAAACTTACATTTGTCAAAACTAGAATGTGTATAACATATAGTTGTAAAGAAAAAAAACAAATATGTTATACACAATATTGCTTTAATAAAATACAAACTTCAACCAGTTACAAATGAAAAATAACCAGTATGCATGTGAAATACTACTTGAATGCTATTAATGCAATACTGTTTTTATTTCTTTAAAATGTATTTTAAAATAGACACATAGTACTGTATAAACCTTTTGATTTAATGAAGAAGAAATTAAGATTAGTGTCTTTCTTTATCTTTTTCTTAAACATTTTCTTTCTTTATTGTAGTACACTTTGAAAGTGTGTAGACCTAGAGTAAAATTTACAGCACACATCATGGTTTGATCAATGTAATCAGATATGTGAGAAGCTAACTGTTGTTTGTGGAAAGCTGTCATCATTTCCCCTTACAAAATAAAGATGATTTTCAGTTTTTCAAAGTGCACAAAATGATGTAGGTTAGTGGTTCTCAAACTGTGGCACAAAGCACTACTCTGGAACATTTAGCTCTATATATTGTATTTATATATTAGGGGGTTTTAGGAACATGGTCAGAAACAACAGGTCTGCAACATCGAGCACCACAATTTTATTCTCATGCAAAAACAGAGCATTCAAAAACTGAATGGATCCACAAAAAAGGCTAGATATTGTTCTGTTTGACCTTAA